TTGGAAAAAAGATATAAAGAACACAAATTAACATTAAATGAATTTCACGACCGAAGTATGAAACTGACTGGTATTAAAAAATTCTAAGTTTTCTTTTCTTTTTCTGTATTACAAAATATAAATTTTTCATACATATCACTTAATTAGTGTATATATCAATTAAGAAAAAGTCGGCAAAACGAGAACCATAGATTTCTATATTTTTAGAAAAGTCGGCAAAACGAGAACCATAGATTTCTATATTTTTAGAAAAGTCGGCAAAACGAGAATACACCTTTCTCACTATCATCTTCGTTTAATTGATCAATAATCGATTTAATAATATCTCGTAATTGAATAACTGTACATTGATAGATATCTTGTCTTTCTTTAATTTTTAATCTGATTTCGTTCGGTAATTTGGACCAAAATAAATTGAATATGCAACGGTGTTCAGTTTCGACTTCTAGCGCTTCAAGTGCACGCAAATGTGTGTCAGAGTTAATTAACATTGCTCGCAATGAGATTTTATTGTTGTCCGCCATTGTTAATTTAAATAGGGAATAGAAATGATTTTATCCGCTATTTTGACATTATTATCGTACATTTCTTTTAATACCTGAATGACTGGATGATAGTTTTCGGCTGCAACTGGATAACTTGCGATTAATTTAACTGCGTCACCATTTAATTGAGATCGTAAATATGTAAATTTTTCGATAACGTTTAGCGTCGAATTTTTGTGTGCCGAAACAAATACACCCCAGAAAGCTTTCCATTTTAAGATCTCGCCATCGAATTTCTCAATTTCGAGTTTAGGCAAACGAACATTCGATTTGCCATCAGCTGTAATCGCTCCAGATGGAATATTGTTTGTATTAGGTAAATCAACTTGCAAAAAACGTTGTAACGATCCACGTAAATTTTCTAGTACAATATCTGCTCGAATAACAGCCTCGTCGTACTTGTACGATAATTCTAATAATCCTTCACTAATACTATCCAACTCTTCTTGTTCGTTCTCATCTTCCGTTGTAATTTGATTTAAACTGTCGCTTAATATCTTAATTCTTCCAAAAAAGGATACTAACTTGTTTTTATCAGTCATCATTTCCGAAATTAATTCTTCGTTTTGTTCCATATTTTCGATCATTCGATTGTAAAACGGTATATTCATATTTTTCGCTATTTGATCGTTTAAATGCTTTTTACTTGGTCCTAACTGCTTTCGAATTTGATTCGCCATTTTTTTTTTTATAATAATAAACGAAATTGAGTACAATAATAGGAAAAGTATATTTACCAACGAAAAATTAAACAATTGATTATCACATTAACTTGATAAATAACTTAATCGATTACCAGATCAAGTGATCTATCCTGCTAAGGTCGCCATGTAGCGAAATGCTTGAATTTTAATAGATTTTTTGCACTTTCGCCAAGTTCTTAAACTTTGATTGCTGTTGCTAAATGTACATCTTACCACAGAAGAATATACATCTGTCACATGCTGTTATAAATTTATTTAGTAACGTTAACATATACCATCGTTAAAAAACACAAGGAAAAATTCTTTCTTATCGTCTTATCCTTTTTCACATCTCTTCTTCGTGCAACACAAAGGAACATGCACATTTTTCTTTTCCTGTTTGTTATGAGTCATTATGCCAGCTAGCTACGTAAACCTACACAGAAAGAAAAACGCACGTTTTTTAATGATAAAAAATATTGATATCCTAAACAAATAGACGAATAAATGAATACATACACAATTATTCTTAATTTATTGTAATCTACTTTTTGAAATGTGACATATTTTAAAAATTCAATTGTTTCTAAATTTGAATGTGATAGATTAATTTCATTTATATTTAACCATTTTATTTTTTGTTTAATATTAAAATCAATTGTTAAATATTTTAAATTTGTTTGTGATATTGATAAACGTTGTAAATGAATAACATTATGATTTGTCATAATTTTTAATAAAACATTTTCTAAATATAAATTTTCATTTAAATTAATAATAGATAAACGATCATAAATATTAATATGTACTGAATCTAAAGCATTATTATTTTGAATTTCAAAATGTTCAAGATTAATTGAATTTAATAAATCATATTCATCAATTGTTATTAAATTTTGATCATTTAATATCAATTGTTTAATACATGATATATGTTCATTAAATATTTTTAAATCATAAATATTTGAATTTTTTAAATTTAATATTATCAAATTTTTATGTTCAATACAATTATTTAACATAGATTTCCATTCCCATGATGGTTGTTGACATGAATGACAA